GCAGGATTGCTACCCCATCCTCTCACTTAAAACTCTTTAGGTGGGTAGTGCTCCCCTGAGTTGTTATTATCTGCCTGACATTCTGCTAAAAGCCTTCAGATTCCTGCAGAGCCCCTGAGGACAGGCTGAGTCCTGTCCTCCCACTGGAAACTGGGCGTAAAATTCAGCAGGCGCAGACACGCGCCGCCGGCTCACCTCGGTAGGGATTTCTACCAAGCCAAACTGTTCATTGAATTCTGGCGAAGAGCCCGTGAGAAGGCCCACGATGGCGAGTCCCGAGAGGACGATGCTCCACAGTAAAGGCTTGTTCTCCCGCAGACTCTCCATAAAGGGATGGCCCTGAAACACAGCGGGGAGAAACCGTGAGCAGAGGTGAGGCTGTACTCCTTCAGACTGCGGAGCAATGCGTGACACAGTTTGGGACCCTCGGTTCGTTCCTGCTTGGTGCAAAAAGAGAGAGTTTTTCCCCCCGCAAAAAGCTGAGAAAAGGTAGTTTGTGATTAGAGAACGACATCCTTTTGTATTATTGCACCTTAATTACAAAATCGTTTCTCTGGTGCCGCTGGAGATGCGACTTAAACATGGCTTGCCTTGTAGTTGATCGCAAACGTGGCCATCTGCATTGCCATCGACATGATGTAGACGGTGCTGTTGACAAGGCTGGGCTCAAACTCCTTGTACAGATCCACAAACTGCTCCTGTCTGAAAAGGGAACAAAGCTGGAGATGAGTGGACCAGACATGGAATCACCAGGAACGTTCAGCTTCTCTCGCGTAGCCCCACTAACCCCAGTTTATTTAAGTTTTGTCGGGAAAAACCAGTTTGCTCCCAAACAAACGTGCATGCACGGGTGAAAGCAGAGGTGCTGCAAGCACAGGTAGTCATTGCTGGTTTTTTTTCCCAAAATAAAAATCAACTGGAAAAAAAATCAGGGATTTTGTGTGGTTTTCTCTCTAAGCTTTCCAGGAATCCACCTCATTGGTGTTATTTCTATTTCCTTTTCCTGCGAGGGCAGTAGGAATTGGATCTGTGACGTATTGCAGAACGTATTCCCACCCGATCCGTCGCATCCTCGCCATGCTGAGCCGCCCGCCGACGCGCTCCATGTACAACTCAAAAGACGGCTTTTGCTGGACACATCTAACTTGTTAAACTCCTAATGCTTGGCGCGCTCGATAAAGCATCGGCAGAAAGAGCGCTGCGGTGAGGGAGACCTCTCTCCACCCTCCTGTTTGGCAGCAACTGGAGAAAAGCTGGCGGTGTCGGAGGAAGAGACACTTACTTGGGATCGCTGCGGGCCTGGGCGCCGCGGTACAGGTAAACGAGGCTGAGGAAATGCACGAGGAACTGCAGCAGCACTGTCAGGACCGTGTAGAGGTTGAAGATGTTTGGCAGCGGGCGCTCCTTGGAAAGCGTCTTCAAAGGCTGGGAGAGAAAAGCAAGCAGGGCTGATGTGAATGGTTTTGACCACCTCTAGGCAGTTTTCCAGCAGAATCCGACTAACGTTCATTTGTGTTTCCCAGGAAATACCTGCAGGAATTCTACTTCAGGCGTACGTGAGCCCCACAGCTCAGCCGGTGCAGGTAACCGGCTCGATTGAACCATTGGTCTGTATTACCCTTCCCACCTCTTCCACCTGCTCTTCCTCTAACCTGAGCAAAGCCTCCTGCAATCACAAGACGCTCTCTTAAGCGAGCGTTGGCCTCAGGAGCCTCCCAAATCCAGGGGAACAAAAAACCCCACTCCCTCCAGCACTGTGGACCATTAACTTCGGTCCATTAACTTTCCGGCTGTGCCACCGTTCAGCATGACCCGGACACGCTGGAGAACTGGGCAGAGAGGAACCGGATGAAGTTCAAGAAGGGCGAGTGTGGGGTGCTGCGTCCGGGGAGGGATAACCCCCCTCATGGGTACGGGTCAGGGGTGACCTGCTGGAGAGCAGCTCTGGGGAAAGGGACCCGGGAGTCCCGGTGGCCAACGGGACGGCCACGAGGCAGCAAGGGGCCCTGGTGGCCGAGGCGGCCGAGGGCATCCCGGGGGGCATCATGGCCAGCGGGGGGAGGGAGTTCATCCTCCCCCTCTGCTCTGCTCTGCTCTGCTCTGCTCTGCCCCGGGGAGGCCACATCTGGAGCGCCGTGGCCAGTTCGGGGCTCCCCGCGTCCAGAAGGAGCGGGAACTGCTGGAGAGGGTCCAGCAAAGGGCTGCGGAGACGATGAGGGCACCGGAGCGTCTTTCTCCGGAGGAGAGGCTGAGGGACTCGGGGCTGTTGAGGCTGGAGAAGAGCAGCCGGAGGGGGATCTTCTCAGTCCTGAAGGGAGGGTGCCGGGGGATGGGAAGGGTCTGTTTCCAGCGGTGCCCAGTGAGGGGACGAGAGGGAACGGGCACAACCCTGAGCGGAGGGAGTTCCACCTCACCCTGAGGAGGGCCTTCTCTGCTGTGAGGGCGGCAGAGCAGTGGCACGGGCTGCCCAGAGAGGTGGGGGAGTCTCCCCCTCTGGAGCCATCCCAAACCCGCCCGGACGCCGTCCTGTGCCACTGTGGGAGGTGCCCCTGCTCTGCCGGGGGGGATTGACTAGATGAGCTCCCGAGGGCCCTTCCAACCCTCACCAGTCTGGGATTCCGTGATTATAATAAACAGCTTTTTTTAGAGAGAGGCGCTCCGTCAGTAACCCCGATATGACTGACGTCGACCAGCCGCTGTCCCAGCACGCTTCCCTCCCCTTACCTTCGACCTGGAGATGAAAAGGAAGCAGCCAGCCAACAGCAGACCCTGCAGAGTTGCCTGAAAATCGCTGAACTTCACCCCTTCCAAGTAGAGGACGCTCTGGCTGTAAGCAAGGATCAGGGCGTTCAGGGCAAGGATCTTGAACATTTGGAGCGTTGTCACTAGCGTGCAACGACCTTGCTTGATCACGTGGCAGACTAAGGAGCAAGAGGAGGCAGTGTTTGGAAACAAAAAAGGCTCTGGGGCTTTGTCCCCTCAGTTCTCTCCTTTTCCACAGCAGCGCAGAGGGAAGTTAACCCATCACTGCTTGTGCCCCCATCCCCAACCCCCAACCCAAGCCCTGAAGCATTGATCAACCCAAAAAGCTGGCAAAGCCATGGGTTTGGGGGCATTTCTCACCACCCCACGCCCTCCTTTTGGTTTCTTTCAGATCTAGGCTTATTCCCCCAGGGAAACATGGACACGTGGAGACGCACACCAGCTGTTCAAGCACTTACTGCACTGAATGGAAGAGAGCTTGGAGGTAAAGGGGGCTGCGATGCTGGCGTCACCCAGTTTCACCACCGGTACGCGCTCCTCTTCCAAATCCTTCAAGACCTGATTGATCCGCTCCTGCAGGCGAGTAAAAGACACAAACTCACAGCTCAGTATTGCGACCTGGCCCAAAGATGATCTCGCGCTATCCTCCCCACCACCCCCTTCCAAGGCGATGCCGAGAAGCCTTCAGGCGTGCAGCACGAGCTCGACGCCTGGCTGGGAAAGCGGCACCTTCTCTGCCCAAATCCATTCTGCTATTTCAGGATGAGAAGCGGAAAAGCCCATCTTTTCCCCGTACACCCCGCCATTGCCACATCTCGTCAATCAGCAGCAAACCAGAGAGAGAACAAAGGGCAAGGAGAAGTTAACGGGCTTTTAAACATGGAGTTACCAACCTTCTGGATGGCAAGCTGTTCCTCTCTTTGGGACATGACTCTGTGCTTGGCACCACGGGAGGTGGGCTTCACAGTCCCGCTCCCCACCAGCGGCAGGACAGGCCTCCCGTCACTGGGTCCATCCCGAGTTCTCCTCTTCCGTTCCGGCAGTCTCTCAGGAGCGTTTGCCAGAAGTGCCACTCCTGCAGGAGCGTAAAAGCATTCGCTGCAGGGAAAAAGGGCCGTAACCCCCTCGCCGGCAGAGCATTATCACGCAGCAGGAATCCCCTTTTTTTTTCCCCCCGGAGTCGGGTGGGCAGGTGAGTTGTGCAGCGATTTTGAAGACGTTATGACACAAAACTGGGAGGGGTGGCTGATCCCCCACAAGGCTGTGCCGCTGTACAGCGTGACCGGGCCGGGACGGAGAGGTGGGCAGAGAGGAACCTGATGAAGTTCAAGAAGGGCGAGTGTGGGGTGCTGCGTCCGGGGAGGAATAACCCCCCTGGTGGGTACGGGTCAGGGGTGACCTGCTGGAGAGCAGCTCTGGGGAAAGGGACCCGGGAGTCCCGGTGGCCAACGGGACGGCCACGAGGCAGCAAGGGGCCCTGGTGGCCGAGGCGGCCGAGGGCATCCCGGGGGGCATCAAGAAGAGCGTGGCCAGCAGGGGGAGGGAGGTCATCCTCCCCCTCTGCTCTGCTCTGCCCCGGGGAGGCCACATCTGGAGCGCCGTGGCCAGTTCGGGGCTCCCCGCGTCCAGAAGGAGCGGGAACTGCTGGAGAGGGTCCAGCAAAGGGCTGCGGAGACGATGAGGGCACCGGAGCGTCTTTCTCCGGAGGAGAGGCTGAGGGACTCGGGGCTGTTGAGGCTGGAGAAGAGCAGCCGGAGGGGGATCTTCTCAGTCCTGAAGGGAGGGTGCCGGGGGATGGGAAGGGTCTGTTTCCAGCGGTGCCCAGTGAGGGGACGAGAGGGAACGGGCACAACCCTGAGCGGAGGGAGTTCCACCTCACCCTGAGGAGGGCCTTCTCTGCTGTGAGGGCGGCAGAGCAGTGGCACGGGCTGCCCAGAGAGGTGGGGGAGTCTCCCCCTCTGGAGCCATCCCAAACCCGCCCGGACGCCGTCCTGTGCCACTGCTGGAGGTGCCCCTGCTCTGGCGGGGGGTGGGATGGGGGGAGCTCCAGAGGGACCTTCCCGCCCCCACCGCTCTGGGATTCTATGTTACACTTGTTGAAGTAAAGATTAGGTGAAAAGGAAAATTAGGAAGAATCTTTCTTCTGGGAAAATGTGTTTGCAGCTAATTCCCGCTGTCTGCTGGTGCACACACAGCAACCGTTCCACCAGCACAGAGATCCATCTTCTTTACGTTAGTTTATGCCACCAAAAGATGTTGGTCAGATCGATCCCAGCCCTCAAAACACCAGAGAAACAAACACCAGTTTTGTGTTTCGGAACGCTAGCCAAACTCAGAGAGTCCTGCAGGCAGACTCACCCACATCTGCATGTTTCAGAGCTCCAACGTCGTTGGTGCCATCCCCACACATCAGCGTGACGTAGCCCTGGCTCTTCAAAGTAGTGATTACAAACTCCTGCAAAAAGATACGTGTAGTGAGCGTCGGCAGCCTGTGGGTTCTGGTACGCTGCTGTCCGGGCTTGGTCAAATGCTTCTGTTCCGCAGGAGCTCACTGGCTTCACACCCAGACTCCAAAAGCTTCACCTTCAGGCTCTGTTTTAGGAGTGCAGAGTTAGAATGTGCCAACGGACTCGGGACCCTTGAGGATAACAGCATGGCATATCCTGAGCTCTGGCTCTTGCTGCCTGCCAGCTTGGGCATCGGGAAAGGTTATGCTGCTTTGCTGAAAACAGCTTTAGCGTCAATCATATGCGTCATCTACGCGGCTCCCAGACACCATATGAGCCCTGCTGGGAACTCTGCGAAAACTGAGGTTTACCAACAGCTGAAATCTCTCACCTTCTGCTTTGGCACCACTCTGGCAAACACCTGGATGTGCGGTATGAGCCTCAGCAGCTGCTGCCTGTTCACAGACTGTAGGTGAGAGAGACCTTCCCCGGTTACGCACAGGTCGTACTGCTGTGTCAACTCCCGCAAAGAGGCTGGCAAGTCCGGGAGCACGACGGCGCCGTCGATGGACTGCCACTGCCAGCTGGAGTCTGGAAAGAGAAGCAGAAGCTTCACATAAGCATGTCTGCGAGGAGCCCGGCCGTGAGAAACGCTCCCAGCCACCCCGCAGACGCCGAGCCTGGTGTGTGCAGCCCCTCCTCGTTACGGACACGAGGTCCTCCACTTCTCAGGACAGTGATATGCCCACCCCCCATCTAGGTACAGTCTTTATGCGGACCCTGCAGTCAGTGACGTGGGTCTCGGCTTCCCTGGATGGCCTCGGAACCTGCACAGCGAGGAGGCCTTCCAGCTGTCGGTATTTTTGTTAGTTTGGTGCTCCGACAGCTTGCTTTAGGAGCTGGCTACGAAACGTACGCAGCTTGCGCAGTACTCCAAACCAGACAAGAGAGGGACAAAGGACAGAGGGTTATCTGGGATTCTGGAAAGCCAGATAAAAGTAATTTCTTTTATCAGCATCAAGCAGCGGCAGCGCTAACAGCATGCGGTTAACTTTGATACAACGTCCCAAGAGGGCTTTGGCTGCTCTTCTCCAAAACAAGGAGCCGTTTCCCGCATGGCGTCAGTTACCTTTGCTCGCAGGAGGCTGCAGAATGAGGGTGTGCTCCTTCTGGAGGAAGTGCAGCTCCCGGGCCACGTGGCAGGCGGTGAGAGGATTGTCTCCCGTTATCATCACTACCTGAGGGGAAAGCGAGAGGGGTCAAAAATCAGTTCTGGGTGGATAAGCAGCACTTCACAGTGAATTTTCTTTACGCTGAAAAGACTTCTGCCTAGCTTGGATGCTGGTGACATTCCCTGTGAGGCGTAGCTCTGCGCAGCGCCTTGCAGAAAGGCTTTTTCTCTCTGGGCCAGGGCAAATCCCACCGCAAAAATAACATCATATCCACGAGGTCTCTCTGCCTTCACCACGGGAAAGCCTTTGCCCTTGCTCCACAAAGGCTTCCAGTACCGAAATTCCACATCCCAAACACCGTGGCTAACAGTAAGGCTCGGCCACTGCTGATGCTTACGTGGTGTGACGCGTTCTGGATCTCCCTGATGACAGATTTGGAGTCGGCTTTGAGAGGACAGGAAACCACAATGAATCCAACAAATTTAAGATCACACTCCAAAGCTTCACGCTTCATCTCTCTCACCTGCCAGAGCAAATCAGCAAACAGTGTCACCTGCTGCTCCGTAGCAGCAATCATCTTTTCCAACGGGTGCCTCCTTGCAACCAAAGCATCGCTAGAAACACAACCGGTGCTCTGAGATGCACAGAGCGACGCTGCACTGTGCCCAGCTGCTCTAGAAGAAAGGCTTCTTCGGTACAAAGCTCCAGAGACAGCCCTGAAAAGAGTTACACGCCCCATCCCCACAGAAAACCAGGTTCACAGCTAAGAACTTCACTGCTAAGCCTCTTCGATTGCCACAAGGGAAGAGCTGACCCTGCTTTATGAATGGGGAAACAGAATTATCGATCAATGATGCGCAGGAATTCAAAGCTGGAAGCACAACGCAGAGGTGGCGATCTTTCCAGAAGATCCAGATCGTAAAAACAATGCGGTTACAGCAGCTTTGGGCAACCGCGTCCCCAAAAGAGTCCCACCCCTCTCCCCTGCTCACACCACCTCCGTTTCCTTTAACGGGAGATCGATTTCAAGGCTTACAGAGACAGATATACCTGCTGGTGCGTGAGGTGCCCCAGTTCTTTGTAGCCAAGGGCCAGCACTCTTGCCCCCTCACGTGAAATTTCCGTGTGGACAGCGTGATAGTTGCTTGGGCACTGAGACAACTAGAGAAGGTGTGGGGAAACGCATCATATTAATACAGTTCCAAACACAATTCAGTAGCACATTCCAACATTTCACATTAAATACGCAGAGAGGGGAAAAGAGGCCCCTTCGGGAGGGTCCCTCACCATCAAGGGCAAACGAGGAGATCCCCCAACTTCAGCCCTCTGCTGTCAGCAAAAGCGGGAGGGCCAGGAACGCATACGGTGAGATATTCAAATCTCACTGGGATTAGACTGAAACTCCCTGGCGGAGTTTGTTTTCCGGCAGGGGCTCAAGTGTGCTCTTTGGCAGGATGAAATCCCTACGTCGTTCAGGTTCCAGACGTGGCAGGGACAAGCAGAGGCGGAAGGGGACGAGCACACGTGCTAGAGAAGGCCCTTCCTCGCCTAGAGAGATGCGCTCACCATTCTGTGCAGCGTCTCTGGGGCCCCTTTCACAGCTGCAATGTAACAGAGATCAGTCGAGCCGATCTTCTCATATGACGCCAAGACAGACATTCTTTTCAGGGCACTGGCAAAATGAAAGCGCTGGTGAATTTTCAGTCCCTGAGTTTTAATACTTCGGGGGAAAACTTTCTCATCTGGAAACAAACAGATCAGGAAATCCTGAAAGGTTTCTCGGTATCAAAAGCAACATCCCTCCCTTTGGGTCCCAGGAGAACCCATAGGTCACCGAGATCGTATAAATTTCGTCTCCTTAAGACACAAGCACACAGAGCTGGAAATTCTCGTGGCAGGAATTAAGGGACATAACAGATCAGAACACCCACGTGCATTAGTATGAACAGCTGCACAACTGGTTGAAGGTGCATTTATAGCATATGTTATTGTCACAGGTAAAAATCCAGAAGGACAACCCACAACAGTGGGATATGTATACAGTATTTCCAGAAGATTTCTACTTTAGTTACCTGCGCCTGCGAAAGCCAAGAAAGCAGAGCAGAAAGTCTCCAGAGAGACATGACGCAGACCACGCTGAAACCCTCACTGTCGTGTTTTCACTACCGTGATCTGCGCTACTCATGCCCTGATTATACCGAGTCGGCACAATCGGAACTAAAAGACACCAACGTGAGCATGCCTGCCACAGAACGCAGCATCTGCAGTCCCGAGAACAAACTTCTACTATTTGTTGCCCTCGGATATGCAGTGCAAGGATTTCCACTGCCCCAAACTGGGGTCATACCAGCTGGAATTCCCTCCTTGCAGAAAGCTGGTGTGAGGCATAGGAAATCTCCATAGACTAGGCAATTTCACACTCAGAACTGACAAAACCAGTGTTATCATCATCACCTCCCCCCAAAAAACCCACCCCACAACGTACAGCACATGTAAACAGGGCTCAGGTATGAACCAGGGAGGAGCTGGAATCAGGTTTTACCTTTGGTCAGGGTCCAGTCCACAGCCATCAACATTGCCTTCTCCAAGGGATCTCCCACCAGCGTCCCGTCATCCAACTGCACGAGCGAGTGGCACGTAGCAATCGCTCGGTGGGTTTCTACAGGAATGTCAGATACCGGTGTCACTTCCTTCCCATCCCTGCAGCATAAAAAAAATAATAAAAAAAAAAAGACCGCTTGTGTTAACAGACCCCATTCACGTGATCTCAGACATATTCTGGAATTTTTCCCAGCAAAAAAATTCCTTACTCTAATACAGTAAACAGCAGAGCTTCTCATGGTGAGATCAAAGCCATAGGAAATCTGGCGCTGTCTCAACTGCAAACAGTGCCAGAGCCCATAGTTTTTGCCAGTCCTCCAAAGCAAACTTGATTCAAATAGAACGCTTGGTGGAGAGGCCTGAACTAACACATTTAAGTAACTGCAGAATCAAAGGACTCGGATGTCGCTCTGCTGCGGCATCGAGCCGTCAAGCACAATTCCACTTCATTGTGGTAGTGGAACGAGAAGACAGGACTCTACTGCACAGAGGAGCGGCAAAGATCTCAGTTACATAAAAACCCTATGTAAGAAGGTCCCCCGAGACAATTAATTTCACAAGTCCTGAGCCCCCAGTCGTTGCCAGAGCCCAAGGACCCTCCCTCCCTCCAGCTCCATCCACTGCTTTCACTCGCTGAATCCCTGATTATCTTCTCTTCTCCACTGGAATGCGATTTCACTTGTGCCTGAGGAGTTTCCCCCAGTGCCCAAAGCCCAGAACGCAGCGAATCACATAACAAAAATCACCCAGGACCTACCTGAGCCCAGCTACTCCTCTCACTACGAGGTGATCGCTGGTTAATGTGCCAGTTTTGTCAAAACAGCAAACTTGAACTTTGCCTGCGAAGGGGATGCGGAAGGGCTCCGTACAGTACACATCTAGAAGAGAGCGGAGGAAATTCTGTGAGAGATCAGCTACAGCGAAGCCAGGACAGGATGCTCGGTGGCTTTTAGCACCAGACAGGAGCTATCAACACTGTTCTCAGCTGGAGTTACCGAACCCTCAACTCCCCATTCTGAATTTTGGTGGCATTTTGAAACCAGAACAGACACCAAGTTGTAGTAGTGATGTCGTCCAACCCAGAAGTCATTGACCTCTCTGTTCCATACGTAGGAACCTGCTCAATGCAGAACTGCAGGACTGTTGAGCAAGCAGGCTTTCAGCTGAAGACATTCCCTCCTACACTTGATTTAGGACCCACTTCAAAGCACACACCTCCTCAAGTCCTTTGGGATTTAAACCTCCTCAAGTCCTTTGGGATTTAAACCTCCTCAAGTCCTTTGGGATTTAAACCTCCTCAAGTCCTTTGGGATTTAAACCTCCTCACACACACCAGCTGCAAACCCCACACTGTCACTGGGTGGAAACTGAGGAGACTACAGTAATTTCACACTAATTTCCTCACCAACGTCCCCATGGTTCCAGACACAAGAAAACAGACCTATTTTGGTTTCTGTGTTCAGGCTTGGTACTTACAGAGCTTGGCCAAAGCAATGAGGGAGGTGTTGACAGCCAGAGAGAGCTCGATAGGAAGTTCAGGTGGAACAACCGAAGTCAGTATTAAAGTACACTCCAGGAAGAGCTTGTAACGGTTCCTGCTAGGATCCTTGGTGCCTGTGGAATGAGACGGGAGACCTGTATACCTCCTCATCCTCAGAGTGCGTGCCCCACAGAGCTAAGGTGAGTACCACAAAGAAGCTCACCTACCTAGGAAGGGCTGCGGGAGGGCAAGAAAAGCATCCAGAATGCAGTGTGGGCCCCTACACTGAAACACTGGTGCAGCCCAACCCAGCTATTGTAACTCTCAGAAATTACGTCAACTGTCCTTCCCACAAGCTTTGGTACAAGTCCTGGGTAGAGACCTGGAAGAGGCAAGAAGAAATCTCACCTTCAATCCAGACGTATGCTGCAGCGGCAATGGCAAAGACCAGCAGGAACAGGATGAAAATGAAGGTCTCTAAGTTATTGGCTGTCACTCTCTTCACCCCAAAGAGGATTGTACGTAGCAATTTCCCCTGAGAAGAACAGCCTTCAGTGCAAGAAGCTATCTCTGCAGCATGCAGTAGTTTATTAAAAATATCTATGAAACCCAATTTTAAAATTACACTCTGGAGTTTTGGTGCCAGAGCCTGAAAATTATTCCCACTTCTGTGATCCAGGCAAGAGCCTAGAGTCACCCGTAATTAATCTCTTAAAAAAAAAAACCGCCACCCCAAACTCATTGCTACATCATTAAGTTGATGATTTCTTTGAGGCAGTCTTCAACTTTCAATTGAAAAAGCTCACTTTCACATCCCTAGTCTCTACAAACACACTCAATTGCCTTTTCCCAACAATTATCATTAACAGGGACAACCAGGAGCTGAAGTATGTACAGAGCGTGGGCAGTCACAACAGGAACTGACTCTGACTCCCAATCTTCTGCATCAACCATCACAGTACTTATTTGAGACACAGAGAAGAGACCGACCTTAGTTATTCCTCTTCCAAACAAACAAGTAATTTTGATGCCCCGATTTATCTTTTCCCACTGCTGTATTTCCTAAGGATTTCCTTACAGCGAAGCGCCGAACGACACAACCGGCATCTTCGACAAAGACAAGAGGCGAGAAGGCACGTTCATGTCTTACCTGAGAGGTGTTGAAGCCGGTCCTCAGAGCATACGCCACGCAGCCATTATCGACAGCTGGAGCAGGAAAGAGTAAATCTTTCATAGGCTTACCGCAGAGAGAATACACTGGAAGCTACGCCCTCCTCTCCCTCCCAAGGGGGAACAGTCATCTTTAATAGAATATCACAACAGTCTAATAATCAAAGTAAACCCTTAGCGACAGGGCCGAGGAGACCGGCTCAAATAACATCCTTCAAAAGTTGCACCAAAGCCACTTCAGATAAGTCTGTGCGCACAGAACATGCTTTCTCAGAGGGGATTTGTGCAGGTACATACGTTTCAGTCCCGTGCTGGCTTTCTGGGGCGGGATGTGCTGCACCACTTTTGTACCCCCAAATATGATGTGGAGGCGGGAATCTGTCTGCATGTCCAAGATGTGCTCTGGACTGAGATCCTCCACAGGCTCCTGCAGGACAGCGTTCAGGTCTCAGACTCACAGCTATCAACAAGGAAACTTCCAGTGCTCCTATCTGTTCTCATCCCACAAGACGGTCTCAGCTTCACTTCAGCCAAAGGCAGCCCAAACTGAATCTAGACCTTAACACGCCATTCAGCTCCAGATCGGCCTGGGTTTAGAGCCTGGCATCTGTGGAAATTCTGGTTTTGGGGGACTAGTTCACCCTTGGCACACCGAATTCAGCAAGGGAGGCTCTGCAAGCATTATTTTATCATTTTTAAGCCACCCACTGGCATAAAAAGGAGGAAGATTCAGGGTTTTGAAGTGCTTTACACTTGTTCCTCCTCCCACCTCTACCCAGCCAAAGGAATCCAGACTGGGGAATGCGTAGGAGGGCGATGCCATGACCACACGACAGAGTTCAGATCAAAAGGCTGGAGACACTGCCAGACAAAACAGACATTTCTGTTTCTCATTTACCAGAGACCATCAATCACAGAGAGGGAGCCGATAACAAACAGATCACGTTGCCGGGGCCAGCATTCACAAAAAGAGACTAATTTGCACCGGCAAACGCTGCAGTGGCTTGAATATTTTTACTTTTTCAGGTTGCAAGAAAGGGACAGCACAGAGGAGATTTCACACAGACCTTCATCTGTGGCACAGACTCTCCCGTCAGCATAGCTTCATCTACAATACACCTTCCACGTAACAGCAGCACGTCACACGGCACTAGATTTTCATGAGGAGATCGGCCTGCAATCAATACATCAAAACTGAGAAGAAGCTCAAAGGCAGAAGTGACTATTGTTTGGCTGTTTGTCCTACAGGGCACAGCCCTCCTTCAGTTTAGCGGAGATACAGGAGATGCCTAAAACTTCCAACCTCCCACGGGGTACCCAGCCTACCACAGGATGCACCCGCTCAGCATTGCTGAGAATCAAAAGGGTTCGAAGGTTATTAAGTCTCTGTCGAGACCAGGAAAGTTTAAAATCAAGACACTCAGTTTCTTGTTGCTGTTCAGGCTTCAAAGGCTGGCACCACAGCCCGGGGTGACACAACATTAAAAAGGAAAGCAGGGTTAAGAGAGAGATCTGCCCTGCCCCCTTCCATTCCAGGAAGATATGGTCAGGAGGAGGGGAGCTCTTCATCTTCACAATCCTAAGCTGAAGAATCTGAGGCTGATTTATCTAGGTATTTATCTTTCTTCAACACAGAGAGCAGGTCCCAGAGATCGTAGAATGGTTTAACTTGGAAGGGTCATTAAAGCCCCCCCAGTGCCACCCCCTGCCCCGGGCAGGGCCACCTCCCCCCAGCCCAGGGGGCCTCAAGCCGCCTCCAACCTGGCCTTGAACACCTCCAGGGATGGGGCAGCCACAGCTTCTCGGGGCAACCTGCCCCAGGGGCTCACCGCCCTCACGGGGAAGAATTTCTCCCGAGATCTCCCCTAAATCTGCCCTCTGCCGGTGTCAATCCGCTGCCCCTGGTCCCACGGCTCCCCTCCCCGATCCAGAGTCCCTCCCCGGCTCTCCTGTAGGCTCCCTTTAAGATCCAGCCCAAGGATTAATCTCTTGCAGCCCTGAATTGTGACACCTACGAATCAAAAGTCCTCAAACGCACCCGACCAAGACCATTAGATTTTTATGCCTAATTCAATTCACTGCACAACTTAATGCACCAGAAGGAATACGATTTTAAACAAGTTTTTGATTACAAGCGTGACACAAGTCATTACCAATGGAAACGATATCCCCTGGAATAATCTCATCACTGGAAATGGGGCGCCACTTGCGGTTTCTGTAAACCTGAATAATAAAAAAAAAAAGCGCTTTCAGAAGCCGTGCCCATGTCAGGAAAGGCTCAGAGGAAAAAGAGGCGGAAAAGGAACAGCAGGTCAGCTAAAAGACAGCTACATCAAAAACTGTATGCACAATCCTCTCTGGGTCTGATCACCTGGATTGTGTATGGCTTGTTGCCCATTTTTCGAATCTCCGACATGTTCCTCATTTGCTGCTGGACCAGAGAAGCTTCAAATGCAACCAACATGGAGAGGGTGAAAACACTGTAATACCAGTATTCATCCAGGCACCACAAACCCACGCAGAACACCTGTGGGGAGAACAGGCCACAGAAGTTATTCTAATCTCCCTCAGAAAGCAGAAGCCTTCAGTTTCTAGGATTTTTTTTTTTTTTTAAGCTACACATTTAACTGTAGGAAGCCAGAAAAATTTAAAATCACAGTAAGTCAATGAGGGAGCAACAGGGTCACTCCCAGAAGTAAAATCAGTATTGCAGAGCAAGAACAGTATCCACTCCTGATTTTAGAAAGCTGCCAGCTGATTTATAGCCCTCAAGCCAAGACTGTACAAAATTCTCTCATTTTTTAACATGGAGAAGTATTTACAGCTCTTTTTGTTTGCTCAGTTTACCTGAAATATGAAGAATGGAGCTGTAGCTCTTTCTTTAAAGAGTTCCAAGAACTCCGGCACCACCATCTCAGCCCTGGGGGAGAATGGAATCCTTATTAACCTAAATGTTCCAGATCCTCAGCAAAAGCCCAACCCAAAAGCCACCTGCAGCCCCTGGTGTCAGACGAGGCTGTACTCCAGAACATCCACAATCTCCCTATTTTCAATTACTATGTTTCAGTTAATCTGTTGTATGCACTTAATTTGCATCTATAGCCCAACTTGGAGAAAACCCCTTGGTCCGATACTGTTCTCTGTCCTTAAAGGAATTTGAAGCAAGTGCCGGGAGTAATTGAAATCTAAAAAACAAGGCTAAAACTGTGGTTCAACACCTTTGTTCCTGACACAACTTCAGCACAGAGAGATCTGCGCCTGGAAAACTCACTTGTTTGTACCATATTTCTTCTCAGCCGCTCGGATATCTTTGTCCTCCTGATAGCCTCGGGCGTTCTGGTAGTAACAAAGGGGATGTTCTACAGGGAAAGCTACAGGAAGAAACTGCTTCTTGCCGTCTCTCTCATACGAGTATTTGATTTTCTGAAATTCAAAGGAAAGAGCCTCCTGCCCATCCTCACCCTGCAGAGAGGGAGAAAAAAAACAACCAGTTGAACACACACCAAAGGCTTCACTCCACACATCATCTGGCCTGAAGAAGGGAAGAAGCCCCAGCTCTCCACATCTACAGTTACCGCATGATTCTGCCCGGGGTACACACAGCAGGCAACACCGTGCAATGTTTAACATTCCCGCTTCTGACTGACTGCAGCTGATTTTTCCCTAATTACTTCAGTTAAAAGCTAATAAACTGCAGGCTGATAGCACGATGTACCAGGTCCCTGGCACGTGACAAATGTCAGTTTTGCTCCCGGCAGCCGTCTCCTTACCTGGTCTCTGTGGAGTGGCACTAGTTCTACTGATCCGTTATTTGGGGTTGGCACAACTTTAGCCAATGTGGCTTTCTTAGGACAAGGTTCCTGAAACACAAACAAGACACGCTTCGTAAAGCGGATCACGGACCCTGAATTTCAATGAGTTGGGAGGAATACTTGCTGGGTCGCATTAAAACATGCGGAGAAAAGAGCTCTTTGCAGCCAAGTGCTTTTGCAGAGCCGTTGTTAGAATCAAAGACATCCCAATTATCACAGCCCATCCCCAAAATCGTACCCTACCACCAAAAGTAGTATATTCAGTACTTCACTTGCAGTTAAGACATATATAGCTGCCAGTAAAACACGGTTACAAGAACAACTGCAAAAATGGCAACCAGCTGATCCATTGTGAAATGACTGGCACAAGCAAAGGCAGTCGGCCCCTGCCCTGAACTCCCAACTCCTCCCAGGCTGCCTGTGCACAGACACATTGCTGGGCTCCACAACAGCGCTTTGGGGCTGGGGCCCACTGAACGCGTGCACCTCTCATAGAATCATAGACTGGTTTGGGTGGGAAGGGACTTTTAAAGCTCATCCAGTCCAAACCGCCTCCATGGGCAGGGCCACCTCCCCCCAGCCCAGGTTGCCCCAAGCCCCGTCCAACCTGGCCTTGAACACCTCCAGGGATGGGGCAGCCACAGCTTCTTGGGGCAACCTGCCCCAGGGGCTCACCGCCCTCACGGGGAAGAATTTCTCCCGAGATCTCCCCTAAATCTGCCCTCTGCCAGTGTCAACCCGCTGCGCCTGGTCCCACGGCTCCCCTCCCCGATCCAGAGTCCCTCCCCGGCTCTCCTGGAGCCCCTTCAGGCACTGGAAGGAGCTCTGAGGTCTCCCCTTTTTCGCCTTCTCTTCTCCAGGCTGAATCCCCCCAACTCTCTCTGCCGGTTCTCACAGCAGAACCTCACTGCAGCCCTCTCCTGCCCCCCTGTCAGCACGCAGCCATGCTGCCCGAGCCCAGCTAAAGGAAGAAGCAGTTCTGTACAAACCCACTCCTCAGGCCCCTCAACCTCATCGCGCCTGCAGAGCTTTCCTGTATGGCCGACGCGGCTCTGACACGTCGCAAGAAACTTCCGCTCCCCCCAGCCAGGAAACC